CCCTATGTTGTCGCGGGTCATACAGCGCCTGTTAAACTCTCAGCTTCCCAGGAGCAGGGATGGCATCTGAGGCAGATGATGGGTGTCCCCTGCTTGTCAGTGACTGCTGTAAGTCGTTGAATAAATGAGCAGTCATCATCATCCTACTTGTTTGGTTATTCATTTGGTTGGGAAACTACTGGGTTTCTCTTGTTGGGGGTATTATGTTAGAATCTGGGGGGTCCACAGAAGTCTCAGGTATTGGCACCATCTTCAGAGGGCCCACAGGTCACTGGGAGAGGTGAGGTGTATGCATAAGTAAGGACATGCAGGGGAACAGATCTAGGACTCTGGGGGTCCAGGGGTCGGGGAATGCTTTGTGCAGTGCTAGCATTTGAGCCAAGTTTAGAAGGAAAAACTGGATTTAGGGATGTAGAAACGTGGCAGGGGTATAGAAGAAACCGACATTTCGTGTGTGGGCAGTTAGAAAAAAGACGAGGCCTGGAAGCAGATGCGGGACTAGGGCCGTGGGAGTGGACCGTGCACTGGGCGGAGTGCGCAGACAGGCGCCTCGGCTACCCCGACCACAGGAAGGCGAGGAAGGCACAGGCAGGGCTAGCTACCTTGGTGCCTGGCTGTGATGGGAGGAGGGATTTGGTGGTAGACTCAGTTCAACTTGGTGACAGACGGGATGCAGAAGGAGGGACGGAGAGGCAAAGCTGATGCCATGGTGTCTGCCTTGGTGCCTGGGACAGCACAGAGTAGCTGCAGGTGGGCACAGGGCGGGGACTCTGATTGGGTCAGGCAGAATTTGAGGGCCTGGTTGGATGTGGAGGTTGCTGGAAATGGGAGGTTTGATGCTCTGGCAAGCCTCTCTCAAGGAAAGTGTGGGCGGCAGGAAGCAGACAGCTCTAGTGACCTCAGGGAGGGTCGAAGTGTCCCGCCTGAAGAGAACAGACTGGAAATGTTTGCTGGCTTGGCCACGTGTAGTTCTCTGACACTAGGATCTTTGGAGGTTTCCTAGAGGTGTTAGAAAAAGAGGTTATTAAGTGACTGCCGTGGAGGGAAGAACCCAGGAACGAGGTCACCCAGATAAATGGGCGTCTTGGGGTCTCTCGCAGCGCCACTGGCTTCACCACCCGGTCAGACATTGGGCCGGCCCGGGACGCAAATGACCCTGTGGATGACCGCCATGCACCTCCAGGGAAGAGGACCGTGGGGGACCAGATGAAGAAAAGCCAGGCCGCGGATGACGATGATGAAGATCTGAACGACACCAACTATGACGAGGTGACTTGTGGGCCCCCTGCCAGTCTCCAGAGGGCCGTCTAGCTTCCTAACCCAACGTGCTGTTGGCGTCCTGATGGGTGGCTCGGGGTGGCTGGTCCATTTACTGCTTCAGCTGTTGATGGGCTGACGCTAGCAGAGTGTGAAAGCACGTCAGGAAGAAGGGAAAGGAACACGCTCTTTTGCTTTCTCCTCACAAGAGAGGTACTGTTAGAGCCACTGCACCGGCGTTTTGTCTCGGCCAATGAAAATTTAGAGTGAGATCGGAGAGAATATTTGCTTTCTTTTGCTTCAGTGCTCACCTTGGTTGGTGTTTGGTCAATTGATGTTTTCTTCAGACGTGTTCCGATGGCATTTTTCCTCAGAGGAAAAGGTTTTAAAAATTTAGTTCAGAAATAATTTTAATTTTACAGGGAACTTGCAAAAATAATACGGTAGAGAGTTCCTGCGTACCGTTTACAAGCTTCTCCCCATCTTACAGGGCGTTAGCACAGTTACGGAAACCGGAAGCTCAGCACTGACGGCACTCTTAACTAATCTGTAGATGTCATTTGAGTCCCACCTGTTTTTCTGCCCGTGTCCTATTTCTGGTCTATGACCCAGTCCACGACCCAGGTTGCACTCTGAGTGTCCCCTTAGCCTCCTGCACTTGGGGTAGTCCCTCCACCTTTTGCACCCTTGATGTTTCTGAAGAGCACTGCTCAGTTATTCTGTTGGCCCTCAGTTTCGCTTTATCTGATTGAAAAGTGTTGAGCGAGCATTTTGCAGCTGAAGTGTTCTCTGTTTCTGCTGGTGGAGATTAAGTTGGAGGAGAAGCTGACCCAATAATATGTTGTCTGGTTCTCAGTTTAATGGCTATGCTGGGAGCCTCTTCTCAAGTGGACCCTACGAGAAAGATGATGAGGAAGCTGATGCTATTTATGCAGCTCTGGATAAAAGGATGGATGAAAGAAGAAAAGAAAGAAGGTAAAACAAGTTCACTGTCTTTGTCCATCTTTTAACAGGTTTGTCTTGACTTATTTTAGACTTGGAGCAAAGTTGCAAGACTAATGTGTGTCTGCTCAGCTTTGAGGCCCCCTGGGTCTTGGTCAGTGGTGGCAGCACGTGGACGGACGCTGGGCTGTCGGACAGGAGCTCTGGGGCCTAGGGACTGGAGTGAAGAGCTTGAGAACTCCATGTCTGGCTTTCTAGAAACCAACGGAGTTCGCGGATTATTCACTACGTGTCAGGGTTACCGTCTTCGAAATGGGCGTAGTGATGTTGATTAATGAATGTATCAAATAATGTAAAAGTTAAGTGAAAATGACAAATGAACATTAAATCCTCATGGGCAGGCAGTTGTGGCTTGAGAATCTGGTGCTGTGCGTCGGTGTCGGGACATGACGGTGGGGAGTCAGGCTGGTGAGCCAGAAGGAGCGCGGCCCGAGCAGGCCCGTGGGAGGGAAGGCTGCCCCTCAGCAGGACGCCTTCGGGCGTGACTTCGCTGAGCTTCGTCTGGCAAGTCTGTAGCAGCTGATTTGACAGCTTTCTGAATTCTCTGTCCCGGTTCTGAGGCGATTATGCAAAGCAAACCCATGATCTTGCAAACCATAGTCAATGATGTTTTTATGAGTTTTTTATATTTTTTTATTAAGAAAGAACACATTCTCGTAGAACGTTAGGACAATAGGATTAAGCAGAGGTACGGAGATAACATTTATTCACAAGCCCAGAAAGTTCACATTTTTGTTCACTTTCCTCTTTCTCTTGCTCATTCTACGTGCAATTTTGTAACTTCCCTTAATACGTAGAATTTTTAATATTTCCAAGATCGTTTTAGAAAAGTGAACGATAGTTTTTCAGGGGAGTTTTTTAAAAGCTTGTCATTCGACGTGCGTGAATACAGTAACTAAGTGTGCATGGTTTTGCATATTAAAGACGATTCTAATCAGGATTTCAGTTATTTTAAAAAAAACGTAGTGACGTGGATACGTATAGAAAAAGTCACGGTACTAAGTGGTCTTAGAAAAGTGGCTCAGTAAAAACTGTTGGGAGAAGGTCTCACGACGAGCGAGTGTTGAGCCGCGGACACGCAGTCTCGGCCGCGTTCCCAGTGCGTGCGGCCGCCTCCGCTGCACCTGCAGGCGGTCCGTGCGCGCCGGCCCGTCAGGCCGCGTGCCCCTCCTAGGTCTGTCTCCCACGAGCATCAGGCATGTTCGTCGCACCGACCGATTCTTTCTTCCCTGCCAGCCAGTCCACATCCTGCCTGTCCCCACACGTGGCGCTGCTCTTTTCCAAGCCCGGGCAGAGTCAGAAGCGGTCCTCACGCTACCGCTCCTCAGCCGTCATCTCCCCCTCCCTCTGCCATCTTAACCTGTTCACGACACGGGCTTTCTGATGGGGTCAGGCACTTTGTGGAAGGGCCTGAGTTGTGGGCTGGCGCCTGCGTCCT